TACCAGGGATCGAACTTGGGACCTTGCACTTGAGCAGCAGGCGCCAGAACCAGAGCTAAATCCCCAGCCCAACATCTTTAACTTTAAGTGATGTTTGCAAGTAAAAACCAGTGTTACTGAAAAAAATAAATAAATAAATAAAGATAACACAATCCTGTAAGTAAAATTCTCAAAGAATCTCTAGAAAACTACTGGAATAACACACAAGTATAGCAAAGTTGCAGAATATAAAATTGACATACAATAATCAATTTTAATTAAGCAATCCCACTCTTAGGCATGTGTCCAAAGGAAACGAGGGCCGGGTATTTAGCTCAGTGGTGCCGCCTCCTGCCTTCTCGCAAGCACAAGGTCCTGAGTTTGATCCCGGTTCCAAAAAAAAAAAAAAGAAAGAAAGAAATGAAAGCAGGAATAAAAATGAAAGAAGGAACTGAAACAAGTATTTGTGCACTAGTGTTCATAGGATCATTGTTCACAGTATCTAAAAGGATGGACAACCTAAATGTCCATCAACAGACAAACTGATAAAATATGGAACACATATACAATAGGACATTAGTCCACCCTAAAAAGGAATGAAATTCTGATACATGCTATAATACGGACCTTGAGAACATTATGCTAGAAAAATAAGCCAGACACAAAAGAACAAATATGGTATGATTTTGCTTTACGAGAATAGGCAAGTTCATAGAGGTAGTAGAACAGGGGTTCTCAGGAAGGCAGGTAGAGTTTTTGTGGGTGCTGGGAACTGGTAAAACGATTTAGGGCAGTGGTGGCAAACCTATGGTACACATGCCACAGCAAGCCATTTGTATCATGGAAAGCTATAAAAGGTTCACCATCACTGATTTGGGATATAGTGATTGATAATTACACAAAACTGCTAATTTACTTAATGCCAATAAATTATAAACTTTAAAATGGCTGAAATAATAAATATTGTTATGTTTTAATTTTTTAAATTATATTCCCATATACTAGCAATAAACAATCTGAAAGTAAAGAAAATTAATTCCACTCAGAATAGCATAAAAATACTTAGAAATGAATTTAACAAAAGAAATGCTAGGCCTGTACACTATTAAGTACAAAACATTGTTAAAGAAAAGCTAAGCAATGCCTGGTGTGGTGGCACACACTTATAATCCCAGCACTTTGGAGGCTGGGGCAAGAGGACTGCCTCAGTTCAAGGCCAGCTAGATAGTGAGACCCTGCCTCAAAAAAAAAAAAAAGAAGGAAAGAAAGAAAAGCTAAGCGAGGTAGAACATGCTTGTAATCCCAGCACCCTGGAAGGCTGAGACCGGAGAATTAGGAGTTTGAGACCAGTTTGGGCTGGTTAGTGACTTGGTGAGACTCTGTCTCAAAATAAAAAATTTAAAAAGGCCCTGTGTTCAACCCACAGCACCACAAAAAAGAACACTTAGAGAAAACCTAAACAAATGAATAAATGGAGAGATATTCCATGATTAGAATAGAACCAGCAGAACCAATGAGATTCCAACAGAAAAACTGAAAAGGATGTGAATATAGACATGTAACAAAAAGGAAATCCAAATGGACTATAAACATAATAAAAGATGTTCAACATTATGAATATCCAGGGTAATGAAAATTAAAACAACAAAGATACTATTTACAACTACCAACCACAGTGATAAAAATTTAATGTCTGACAATACTACATATTACTAAGGATTCAAGAACAGGAATTAGGGCCAAGGATTTAACTCAGTGCCGCTGTGGCTGCCTGGCCAAGAGCAGGGTCCTGAGTTCAATACCCGGTACCACAAAAAAGAAAACAGGAATTTAATAAAACCACTTTAGAAAGCAATTTGGCAATACTGTATCTAGTAAAGTTTGTAAGTCTTAAGAAATTCTGCTTCTACAGATATCCCCTAAGTAAACTCTTAGACATGTGCCTAAGGAAACATGATTAAGAATATTCACTTCAGGGCCAGGCATTTAGCTCAGTGGTTTCGCTGCCTGCTTCGCAAGCGCCAGGACCCGAGTTTGATCCCTGGTACCCAAAAAAAAAAAGGGGCTATCTTCCCTCCATTGCAAGCTTTGGGCCGGGGATTTAGCCCAGTGGTTCCGTCACCTGCCTTGCAAGCGCAAAGACCCGAGTTCGATCCCTGGTACCAAAAAAAAAGACTATTCACTTCAAACCAGGCGTATAATCCCAGCATTCTGGGAGGTTGAGGCTGGAGGATCTCAATTTTGAGGCTAGTCTGAACTACACAGTGAGTTCAAGGCCAGCCTGAAACAAAGCAAAACCTTGTCTCAAAAATCAAAAGAAAGAAAAAGTTCACTTTAGTAGGTGGGGAAATGGAAACAATATAATGTTCATCAATAGGAGTATGAGTATAATGTATTCATACAATAAAGTACTACCTGGAAGTTAAAAAATTTTTTTTTGGTATCAGAGCTCAAACTCAGGACCTTGTACTTGCAAGGCAGGCGCGATGCCACTCAGCTAAATCCCAGGCCCCATGGCAGTTAAAATGATATTTCAATACATATATACAGTGTGTATATGAACAGAGCAGGGTAACTGACATATTCATCGCCTCAAATACTGATATCTTTGTGTTGGAAATACTCTAAATCTCTAATAGTTATTCTGAATTACACAATTTTCTACCATATTACCACACTGTGCTACAGAATATTGTTATTCTCCTTACCCATCCTCTCTCCAACTTCTTTGCCAGCCTCTAACATCTAATTCTACATTGTAAATTCTTTTTTTATGGCTAATATTCTATTGCACATACATATCAAAATCTCTTTATCCATTCACTATCAATGGACGCCCTGATTGATTTCCTATCTTGGCTATTGTGAATAGTGCTGCAATAAATATGAGTATAGATGTTGCTTTGACATACTGATTTCATTTCCTTTGGAATATATAACCAGCAGTGGGATTACTAGATTAAATGTGATTCTAATTCTAATTTTTTAAGGAAACTCAATATTGTTTTCTATAATGGTTGTACCAACTGGTGGTACTATTCCCTTTCTCCACATCTTCCAGCATTTGTTATTCCTTACTGAAAACAGCCATTCCAACTGGAGTGAGATAATTTCTTATAATTTGCATTTCCTTGTTTAGCAATGTTGAGCCTTTTATCCATATATTTCTTGGTCATTTGTGTATTTTCTTTTGAAAAATGTCTATTCAGATCATCTGCCTGTTAGCTGAGCTATTTCTTTTTACTTTTGAGTTGTGTTCCTTATATATTCTAGATATTAATCCCTTGTCAGATAAATCATTTGCAAATATATTCTCCCATTCTGTAGGTTGTTGGTTGCTTCTTTTGCCGTGCAAAACTTTTTAGTTTGATATAATTCCGTTTGTCTATTTTTGCTTTTATTGCCTGTGCTTTTAGTGTCACACACAAAACATCTTTGCCCAGATCAAGGTCCTGAACATTTCCTTTTTCTTCTAGTAGTTTCTTTTTTTTTCCTGGTACCAGGGATCGAACTTGGGTCTTTGTGCTTGTGGGGCAGGCGGCGGAACCACTGAGTTAAATCCCCGGCCCTAGTTTCACATTTTTAGGTCTTACATTTAAGTCTTTGGTCATGTTGAATTAATTTTTGTATATAATGAGGAAAAAAAGGTCTATTTTCATTCTCCTGCATATGGATACACAGTTTTCCCAACACCATTTACTGAAGAGACCGTTCTTTCTCTGCTGTATGTATGTTCTTGGTCCCTTTATCCAAAATCGGCTGACTATAAATATATGGATTTATTTCTTGGTTTTCTCTTCTGTTCCACTGGTCTATGTGTCTGTTTTTATGCCAGTACCATACTGTTCTGGTTATACCTTTGTAGTATGAGTTAAAAGTCAAATATTATGGGGCTGGGGATTTAGTTCAGTGGTTCCGCTGCCTGCCTCGCAAGCACAAGGACCCAAGTTTGATCCCGGGCACCAAAAAAAAAAAAAAGTCAAATATTATGATGCTTCCAGTTTTATTCTTTTTGCTCATGATTGCTTTGGCTACTGGAAGCTGTCTGTGGTTCCATACAAATTGTAGGTTTTTCTTCTATTTCTATAAAGAATTTTCATTGATATTTTAATAAGGATTGTATGAATCTGTATATCACTTTGTATAGCATGTATCCATGAATATGGGATATCATTCCAATTTTTGTGTGTCCTTTCCAATTCCTTTCATTGGCATTTATGATTTGATTTTCTTTTTCAGTTTGGTTTGTTGTTGCTGTTTTTGTTTTAAGATAGGGTCTCACTATGTAGTCCAGGCTGACCTTGATCTTGCTAAATACCTTAAGCTGTTCTTAAACTCCTGATCCTCCTGCCTCAGTCTCCCAAGTGCTAGTATTACACACATGTGCCATCACACTCAGCCAAGTTTTGTGTTTGCTTTTTTGTGCTGGGAATTGATGCCAGGGTCTTGAACATGCTAGGCAAGCATTCTACCACTATGCTACATCCCCAACCCATTTTATAGTTTTAATTATAGAAGTTTTCCAACCTCCTTAAATTTATTCCTAGGAATTTTTTCTTTTTCTTTCCTAAGCTATAATAAATGGGCTCTTTTTTTTTTTTTGGTACCAGGGATCAAACTCAGGTCCTTGAACTTGCAAGACAGGTGGCAGATAAATGGGATCCTTTTTAAATTTCCTTTTCAGCTAATTACTGATATATAGAAACATTATCAACTTTATGTTGATCCTATATCCCTGTATCCTGCAACTTTACTGAATTCATTTATTAGATATATATATATATATATATATATATTTTTTTTTTTTTTTTTTTTTTTTTTTTTAAGATGGAGTCTTGCTATGTAATGCAGACCAGGCTTGAACTCACTATGTAGCCCAGGCTAGCCTCATACTTGCAGCAATCTTCATGTCTCGGCCTCCCCAATGCTGGGATTACAAGTGTGTACTACCACACCTGGCTCTAACAGTTTCATTAAAACTGTGAGTTTTTCTATGTAAGATCATGTTATCTGCAAACAGGGATAGTTTGACTTCCTCTTTTCCAATTGTGACTGGTATATTCTCTTCCTAAATGCTCTGGTTAGGAAAGCCACATTATGGTAAGTAGAAAAAGTAGGCTATAGAATTATCTTTAACAGCATTTATGTGAAGTCTATAAGCAAAAAGTGCTGTACGCTGTTTAACAATATACAATTTTCTTTCCTTTTCTTTTGGTACCGGGGATCAAACTCAGGACCTTGCACTTGTGAGGCAGGCAGCGGAACCACTGAGCTAAATCCCTGGCCCTAACAATATACAATTGATAGCAATTTTTAAAAACACACAGCCAAG